TATCAAATATAATCAAAATAATGTTTATTTCAGTAAGTAAAATACTATGTTACAATACTTTGTCAGTACATATTTTATAATTATGCCATAGTTATGTAATAATATACTGACATAGTCATTAAATATGAAATCCCCCTCACATAGGCTACTGTCCGTGCGTGAGAAATTTCCTCTATCAGTAAATAAATATTCTAAATTGAAAAAAAAAATAGATATTTATAAAACGCTAGCTGGCCCGACAGACGTCGTCCTGTCCTAATGTGGTTTTATGTCAAATGCTTGTTCATTTTCAAAATTCAAAAAGCAGAAACCATTCGAATCGTCAAACTTTGGATTTTTTCTACTAGCCTGTTTGGAGATAGTGGCTTCTTGGAGCTTAATGAAGTTGACGTGTTAACAATTATTGTTAACATATTATGTTTGGATTAGGATTTGAAATAGATAGTTGGACTCTTTCTTCAACGTCCTGCCTGTTGTAAAGCGTAGGCCTAATTACAACAGCTTGTTTTCATTTGACTATTTTATTTCATTTCATTACGTTTAAAATGGCTCTCCGATGTTTATAAATGATTCCTTTCCTTCCCCCAAATTTACTGCATAATAGAAGTAATTGTATTTCCAAAACATATTTCGAAACTGAAATGAAATACTGAAATTGATCTTTAGGAAATACATATTTCAGTTCAGAAAATACAGCCAATCAAATAGGGACTTTCATAATAAAAAATCAACAGTCTGGCTACAAAGTTTTTTTTTTATTTGTGTAACAATAACAGATGGAATTAAAAAAAAAACAAGATTTGTATAAAGATGAATTAAGAGCAATAAACTGTTTGGTGATATAGCCTATGACAGATAATTAATAACAATGCAATGGAGTTATTGACCTACACATTTTATCTAACGGTGCAAAAATATAAAAACAATAAAAATAGACTATATAGTTTAAATCATTAAATTAAAAAAAAATATTTACAAATATACAAATCGTACATTTACTACAACATACTAGCAGGTGCAAAAGAAACAATATTTGTGACATAACCGGGATTATAGGCATAACAAAAGCCACAATTTTTATAAGCGTTTTATTTTTTGGGAGTTTTTTTTATCTAAATCATCAGCTGTATAGATAGCTTCGTCATTATAAATATATAGAGTTTTTCTACAATAAATTCCTACCCTTTTCTTGCCTCATATTATTATTTTTGAGTTAGTAGTCATTTTTCGTGAAAGCAGGTCAACAACATCAGGGGTTGTAAGCTGCCATACTATGACTAGAAACCTCAAAATCTTCTTTATTTAGTTGTGCTAGAATACTCTTTTCCATTTAGGGAATAAGCTGTTACCGTAGGTCTCATTGAAAGATCTAGACCCGGGACCTATTTTATTTTTCGTTTTGATGCCCCGAGAGAGCAAAAACACCATTCGTAAAAAATATATGTAATTTGTAATTTAAGTAATTTGGTTATAATTCATTTCCATTCTAGCTCCTGAGCTGTAATATTTAATATGATAAATAGGTTTGGATAAATGTCCATAAACTTTCACACACACATACACGAACGAATAAAAAAATAATATGCCTATTACAATAAATGCACCTGGAGTCTACAAACTGTTATAGTTTGCTTATTTTATTTATGGATATGTGTTGGTAAATGTATACTCGTATGAATTATACGATACAATTTACACAAAAAACTATTATTTCTTTCCCAAATGGGAATAAATTTAGTCTGCAGGACTGCTGCGCAGGAGTACTTTGTTATGTATTTAATGTGACAGCAAATCGTTTTAATGGTTTTATAGTGAAATTCTGTTTAGTTTTTGTTAAGAATATAAGTTGAATCGGCGTTAATTCATACTCGCCTCCCGCTCCAAATTCTTGGGTCGCTAGCGGCACGGTAGAAAATTGGTGGGTCGCTAGCGGCACGGGTCGCTTCTGGCACGGTCGCTTCTGGCACGACACCGCTAGTACGCATGAAACACCAAAGAGCAAACGATGGTTACTCGTGTCCGCCCGCGGCCAAGTCCAGGTGTTATAATTAATCTATATGGCAGTCGTAATCGCGCAATTACAAGACGTCTACTTCCTGTCAATATCTCACACGTCTGTGACTTCCGCTAGATTGACTTCCGGTCGGGAGTCGGGAGAAATGGCGCCAAATTGATTGAGCGGTCGACGTTTGCGGTCGAGCGAGCAGTATGATTGATAACTACGCTCCTTAGTGGCTCTGATTGGAGGTAAATCGAGCGACTGGAATAGCAGACTGATTGCTTTCTAGCGGCTTCAGTGGTCATGCAAGACAGGTACATGGATTTCACACCTTCATTTGCTCCCGCAGATAAGACAGTATATAGTGTCCGTGTAGGCAACCTTGGTGGCCAACTACGTCTCGAGATTCTGATCGGCGAGCGAGTGAAGATATTTTTTAATGCGATTAGTAACAGAAAATAAACTAAGTTTGATTCCTTTATGAGATGCTAGCTTGGAGAAACTAATTGCGACGTAATGAAATATAAACGACACAGTCTGTACAGAAAATCGGAAAAGGGCTGTATCGAATTGCATACATTTTTGTGTTGTTCATAACAATATAGCCAATAATAGTTCCTCATTAAGCCACGTACCCCCTCATTTTGTACCCTCATTTATTTCATTAGATCACAATAATTCGTTTTATATTGAAATGTCACTATTCAGTTAATCTACGATAAAAGACACCAGTTTTGCCTGCCTTGACTGTCCGGCCTTGTTCCTAATATAACCTTATATAAATGTAACTGAGAAACTATACACCTTAGTCTTATGAAGATAATGTATGCATTCATTGAGTACAGTATCCCTAAGTACAGTCTTGGGGCCAGCGGGGTTGATGCTTATCTAATTTAATAAAAACAAACATTATAACAGTAGACGAAGGCGATTAAACCTGACGTACTGACATTAACCGTGAGTCAGCAGAATGCACCGAGTCGTTTCCCCAAAAAAATTACACCGACAGAGTTCACACAGTACGTCACGTAGAGTTTTCCTTCGGGAATAAATAACAGAAAGTAAAAGTAGGAAGAACAGTGGCTCAATAAGGGTTGCCAAAACGAAAGCCATTTAGTTACTATCCGTGAGAAAATTCAGAGCGAATAAATTACACAAAATTGTTTTATAAGTCAATGGAATGACCGTTCACTTAAGAAGTTATAGATTTCTAACTGGGGAAGAGTCAATTAACATGTAAATATAGGCTATGAAGAAGATGTTCCCACAAAGATGTGAAAGGTGATATGGAACTACAATACAGGATGGTCCCATAGTAAATCATTGGAACGGGTTAATAGACTTTACTACTTTACTTCATAGTCTTGTTTCATGGGAACTATGATGTCTTCAGATTGTTAAACGAAGATAATTTAGTCTAAACATGATGCACGCCTGGCATCTTAAGTGAATTGAACAATCTTATTTTACACTGTTAAAATAGTTTACAATGAGTGGGGTTTGAATGGTAAACGTATGCGTTAAACTAGGAGATTCTTTTACTAGACCTCATTTTTACAATAAATAACCAATTCAAATTTAACTCAAACCGCTAGCTTTCTCTTGGCTGCTGGTTTTAAACATTGAGACTATTATTTTGGATCACTTTGGATTCAAGAGAACAATAGATTCACCTAAATACCAAAACAATGCAACCTCGTCTCAGCCCGGACTACACGATTCTGTTAATAAAGGAGATTGAACTATTCGGATATTCCGCTGTTCAATTATTCAACAAAATACAATTGGGTTCAGAGTTAAAATACTAGGTATAGTATTCAAAAGCGATGTATGGCGGTTATGGATTGATTAATTTATCACTGCATCTTTACTATGTATAACACGGTTATTTATCTTGCGTTTACGACATGGAATCAAAACTTATAAAATAGGCTATACATTTGTTAATACAGTATTTATAATAATATTGAGATGAACAGTTATTGCTATTTTTATTGTGATATATTTCAACAAAGTGATACAATTTTATAAACTTTCACTATTGATGCTTCTTCTATACAAACCCGGTTGTTCTACGTCAGCTACAATAGGCGTACAACTCTTTTTCAAGTTTTGTTTCCGACCCTAGAGCGCGGCGATATACGCGCTCTTTTTACTGTGCCCAGGAGCAAGAGTCATACTGTATTCATTTGGTCCATAAAACTCCATACAATTATGAAACCACCTTCCCTTGAAAAACTGCCAAAACCGTCCCATCCATCACCCATGTAAAATTCCGTTCTGAGCTCTAGCCCTCACAAGTCACCCCCAAAGTCCGCCTTCACTCTTTTCTGACATTTTTTTCTTCTTTGAAAGTTTAATTTCAAAAATCGATTTATTATTTAATTAAAAAAATAACTTACCTCAACTCAATGCAAATGTTATTCATATTGGAATTATTTTGATCAGGCAGTATGTACGTACGATCCAATGATAATTCAAAGGTTGAAAACAAAATTCCTTTAAAAGCCTCGCGGGAAGTTGGAAGTAAACAACATTTAAACTGAAACACTAATAGTCTCGTACCACCACACTAACAATCTAACACAGGTAAAAGTGAAAACTTATTACACACATATTTGGTCATGCTGATGTAGAGACTAAGAGACTTGTGTTAATGTTGCATAATGATTTGTCCATGAATTTATATTAAGAAAATAAACTGTAAAACAACGGTAAAGTTAACGAAAATTAGAGTTGAGATTGAAGAGAAAGAATTTATATACAAATAACTGGGCCTTGCAATGGCTTTAGTTAGAAAATATTTGTTAAGATCTACTTAACTTGTAAAATAACTATTTATAAAAATCCATTCAAAAATCGAACTTTTCAAACCATTGCAGTCGTGTGACATTAAAGGTATTAAAGTAACTTTTACGAGCATAATATGAATATCCACAGACTGCTTCAATACATATTGGATTGGAATAATGCTTACAATTAATTGAATTTCAAAACCCACCTTAATTTAAACGGCATCCCTCCCCATGCCGCAGCACGGGACACAAACACTCACAACAGTACACTCTAGACGCGGCTGAACCGAGACTGACTGAGACTGAGACTGAGGGACTCCGACACCGACAACTGTGGAGGGGGAGAGAGCGAAAGTGTCATGGTATACGTAATTAGATTATTGGTCTGCATACTACAGACTACAGACGACGGGCCCGCCCCAGTAATTGAGGCACAAGCGGCGTTTGGGTGTCATGTGGGAAAAAGTCCATGACAGCAGAGAAAAGGAAAATTACCAAGTTATTTTTACAAGTTTGTCATTGAAAAATGGAGTGTATTTTGGAAGGACGTAGTTTGTGTCGCTTCATTGTAAAATATACCAGTTGGAGAATTTAAATGACTTTATTCTAGATCGGTTATAAAATATATTTCATACATGAGGACAAACAAAATTTCTTAAAATATTGGAGCATCAAGTATAGAAAAACATATCAGTAAACCAATTTTTTCCCATTTAAAGATTTCGAATTTTTGAAATCATACAATAATACTGATGAAAACGTGTAGGCCTAACATTTCAAACGCAATAACAACACCCTAAACAACGTCCATATACCGTACATTCATATCTCGTATCCGAAATTGAGTTTTTACTGAGAGGGACTTCGACGAACGGTTTTGGCGACGTTGTGCTATATTTCTGATGAAATCAATTTTCTGTTGAACATTATTTATTTTAATTGGCGTTCAGGGACGCTCCCATATATTGATAAGGATATATAAAGTATTTTTTGCGTAATGGTTTAAAAATGGCATTGTTTAAAATAAATCGCCAATATTTCAGTGGTGACTTTGGTGTAGTTCATTTCTCGAGTCATAGGAAAACTTAATATTTGTTCATTTTACCGCTTTTGGCTAAAGCACTGCTTATAGTGTTACTATACATATAACCAACCTTAGTAATATTTACCAAGAGTAATCAAAATCAATTTAGTAACACTTCATAATATATTTTCTAAATCAGTATAGTAAAGAAAAGTCATTAATTGGACTAATGTTGTTTGTAGCAGGAAATTTATTTGGAACTTAAAAAAGATGCAAACAAAGAAGGGCGAAGACAGTAGTCTGTCATATTGCACAGCTTGCTGTAATTCCCATTCTGGTTTTCCGCAATTAGGGAGTTTCATCTCAAATTACTCGAGAACCGCCAACGCGATGTTGCGTAAGAGAGAAATGACGGCTCACTAGGCACAACGTCGTCTCTAGAACAAGAAACCCCCCTCATTAGAGAAGGGAGGCCTAGACCTACGAAACTAAAAACATTTTTTTCAATTTCATAAATATTCCAAAAATATTTAAGTACTTTAAAGCACTTACCTGATTAGCTAAAATGTAGGCCCTGTTAACCTTTCCCAGGGGAATTGCAAGCACATTGTCAGTATACCAGCCGGTTTACAGCTGTCCAGTTAATTGCGGTCAGCTGTTACAGATCAGCTGATCACTGTAGATGGTGTCAGTTGATGTGTGGGAGTGGTTGTGTTGTGTCACTGCTGGTTAGAACATGCTGGGCACGTAGACAACGCAAACCTTGAGATTAACTGTTGCGGGGCTGCTGGAAAGTGTATTGAGTACGGTTGAACTATAATTCATTCTTGAGTTGCAATAACATAAACGGATTTTATCATAAAAATCCCTTCTTGATCTAAAATTTTTCTTGATCTATTCACATCAAAATTGTTATTGCCAAATGTTCTATTAGAAGTGGAAACCTGAAATGAAGAAAACGCCCATATCAAATTACCCTTTTTGCAAACTCAACTCTTTATCTAATCATATTTTGTTGCAAGCAATCGTGTTTTTTATTGTTGTATAAGGAACAACATCTGGGCGTATGAACTTTCCAGGTAAAAGAGCACATGAACAGTTAAAACAATAACTAGGCTAGGCCTAGACAACGAGACCAACTCTTGAGAGACTACATCTACTAACGCGACATACAAAGAGTGTTCCATACTATCAACTAATAGCGTTATCTAAAAAAAAAATACTTCAAGACCTACATCCCTGGTAAAGTCTATAGACATGGAGATGCTCCATCAAGTAGATGTGAAGAAAGAATATCTCATATGATCCAGCCACAACAAGAACAAATCTCAAGACACATGGATCGACGCAACGTGCGTCAAAGGAACTACACACATGAACCAAGTGCATGTTCAAACCCCCCTTTCAGGCCCTAAACATGAAACGGAAACACTCCATCTAGTGGAAGTCCAGTTGAAAAACTCTCATTTGACCTGCCAAAACACTAATTGTGGATCGAGACCGATGCAACACATGACACAGGAACTAAACATATAAAACAATTACATCATGTTAAAAACCCTAAACATGATGTTCAAATGGATATATCCCATCAAGTAAGTATCTCGATAAAACCTATCAAGTCTTGTCCTTCTATCTATCCTGTTCGACCCAGATTGGTAACAAGGTCGCAATAAATCTCAGTACAATACCGTTTGGACAACCGCAGTGCCCCGTTTTGGCTGACTTTGGTACAAAATGCCTCTTTAGAGATTTATCCCCGACTCCACCCACAACCTTTCCTTTCTCCGTCTCGTCTCAAGTGTCTGATAGTCGTGCCGACGTATTGTCCCCGTTGTGAATGCATTGGTTGCAGTTTTACAATATGTCACTGAGTGTGAATACTGCACGATCTTGTACTCCTATGTCAATTTGTCAATATGTCAATATGTCAGTATGTCAGTATGGTAAAATGTCCAAGACAACTTATTTTGTTTGTCGTTTGTTTGATTTGTGTTTGAGTACGTTTCATATTATTTTGTAGAGTATTTATTAGTGATTATGCAAGGTTAAAAAGTGTTACTACTAATGAGAACAGTGTTACGGTCAAATAAACTGTAAATTAAACGTTAAGAAAAGAGTTCACGGCTGTTCAGGGAACTTGAATGGTTCTACACAGTTTGGTAAATGTTTAATGTTCTATTGAACTTTTGGATGTCTAGCAGCAAGATTAAATTGGAACGAAAGTTAATTGTATAGAAGCATACTTGCATGATATATTTCACTACTGATAGGTACACTATCTAGCAAAATATTTTTTTAACAGGATAATTATTTAACAGAACCAATTTCCACTCACAGAAGCATACTCTTTAAATATTTACTTACTACACCCTAAGGCTTACTCTATAGTAGCTTCAATTTCATACAAAGTGTACCTAAAGTGTTAATAAATCTATCATCCTTCTTATATGATAAAATATATGTAGGAGAATCAATAATTTATAGGTAAAATAATATTTTTATTAAATTAACTGCAAAACAGCTTGTTTACAAAAACAACATTGATGGGAAAACAGTAATCCAATACTTTGATTGTTAACTAAAAACACACACACATACTGCACAAAACACAAAATAACATTTATAAGCAAAATGACTAACCTACCTGACGTTTACTTAACACGTTAAGGTTGAGCGAAATTTGACGGTCTTGTCTTCATTTGTTGTTTCTTCTGTGTTATATTAGAAACATCACATTATGTGATTTGTATGACTTGAACTTGGATTGCCATCTTGATTCTTTGTAATTTTTGTGAAATGGTGTAATCTGTTGGAATGTACAATATTTAAAAAATAAATAAAACCTATCTAACCTAACAACTATTACTAATAACTAGTTAAACTAAATAACAGTCCGTGCAAATAAAGTAACTAGGCGCTTATAGTCCTTTTGAAGGTTGTGTCGGTCCAAGATGTATCCATACATCTTGGGCCTTCCTCCTTTAATAAGTTTTTCAGTTGCTAGACAGTTTTTCTTAAAACAAGCTCGTATTCAGTCGCCTCTGGCTAACTCCAATTGTCGTCAGGATGCTCTTCGTTTTCTCCTGAGTAATAGCATAGCTACATATGTCTAAGTATTTGGCCAGGTAGAGGAGTGAACCGATGGTGTTGTATTGGTTGGGGTTATACAGTATTGTGTATATGGGCCGATTGTGCCACACTACTTGTAGCCACCCGCTGTGACTATCTCTATGCAGTTATCTGTATCACCCGAGGTCCATTCCATTGTCACGAGTATTTCACTTTCCCTTGGTGAGTGATCCAAGTCGGAACGTTTCCTTTGCGATCCTTCTTTACATAATGGCTTGTAGGGATCGCTGGAGGGAGCATTCGGTAGTTTTGCACCTCAAGGAGAATACAACTACTTAAATGTTACTTGACGTAAACATCATTTAAATGGTCTATAGCTGGCCTTTTGCGACACTCCCACCACCTCTCTTCAATATCACAAAAATGTATCCTTCAAGAAAGATGATAAGCACTTTTAATACTGGGACTGGGTGTGGTGTTTCAGGTCTACTAATTGAGCGAAGTGAACAAAATAGTTAACAACTAATATTTTATTCTAAATAAAATTTGAATTTCAAAGCAGACTATAACATAAAAGCTTAAGACAACTTAATGGTCAATACAATACTTCATCATACGAGTAGAGCACCTAACCATTTACTGTTTGTTTTTGCCTGTAACTCTCACTATCGAAAATGGCTCAGTTAGCAATTCCTTGATAGTTCTTGTTCTTACTCGCGACAACGCTAGATAAAGTAATCTGAGGAGAAATGTTGAGTATTCCAAGTCGACCACAGCCTTATCTTGTCTGAGATGTACTGATATCGCACAGGCAAGCTTTAGTGGGGATTGCCTTATGTGAATATTTTTCTCCGTTCAATTTAAAGGAAGCAGTTAATTATGAAGAAAAAGTGACAGGAAATCATTCCATTCGTATGGTCACCATTTCATTAGAAAGCATTAAAGTATAAAACGACAACCTTATAAGTAAAGCGTTGTTAAGGTATTTGCACTATTGGTAGTCATCTGATGTGGCTTTAGCAGCAGTCATGCTGTTCATGGTTACAGATCCATTAGCTTGTTCTTGTTAATCACCTTAATATAATCTTTTGTTTGTAATAATATGTCTATTTTTTAAATTTGTTTTTCGTTTTAACATTATAGCTCATAAATCTTGAGAAAAAATGTATGACGCATTCATGAAATATCTTTAGTCATACTCTTTACGCACA